TTGGAATTAGTTCCATAGACTTTATTTGATGTATTTGAGTTGATTTTGGCTAGTTTCGAGCAGTTCGAAGGTCAGTACACGCGGGATAGAATTTTTGGAGCATCATTTGGCTTGCTCGGTGTTGGATTTGGCTTGTTCGAGGTAAGCAACACTTTCTAAACTTGATGTTGAGGGTATGAACCCCGAATATACATGATATATGTTTGGTTGAGGTGACACACATGCTAGGTGATGGACGTGTGAGTGTGCACCATGTGAATTGTGACTCGGTTATTTCTATGGTACTATGTAGTCACCTAATCTTATTTGTGTCCATGAAATCTCTACATGCTAGAGTAATTGAGTTGTGATCCATGTTAGAAATCATGTTTAGGCTATATGCTGATCCTGTTGGGACCCACTAGGGTCATTTCTACTGTTGAGTTATCTGTTTATATTGAAATTACACACTCAGTGATACGCATTCATCTACATATCATATCTCAGTGTAAGGCCCCATAAAATTTTACTAAAAACCCGGGATCTCGTGGTGCCGAGGTAGTCTTATGTGTTAATGATTATAGGGATTCTTCACAGCAAGCTTGCTCATGCGGTACGAACTTTTTGGGTTGAACAGTGCATTGGGGAGTTGAAGAAAACTTTTGGCAGAATAGGGCATTTCTGCGGTCTACTATGCGGTCGCAGAATCACTTTGCAAGCCGTAGAATGGCCACAGAATCAAGCAGAAACTTAAGCAAAAACATTTTGCACCATTATGCGGCCGCAGAATTACTTTATGGGCCGCATATTGCATCGCAGAATCGACATGAGGAATTCTGGGAGGAGATTCTATGGTCCGTCTTGCGACCGCAGAATTGATATGCGGATCGCAGAATGGCTGCATACCAAGGCAGAGGTGCCTAGTTCCGGAGGACCATTTTGTGGCCCATTTCGTGGACCGCAAAAGCATTATTCAGTCGCATATGCGACCGCAAATCTGTTTTAGAGCTTCATTTTTCTGGTTTTTGTAACACGCCCTATTCCATTATATCTGATATTTTAACCATTTCTCAAGTAAAAACCTGATATTTTGAAAGTGAAAGAGTGCTCTAGAGTGGGAGATGAAAGAGTGCTCTAGAGTGGGAGATGGTTCCTTAATAATTTGTTCTTCAATTTTTGCTCAAATCTTGGAAGATTAGCAAGGGAAACTCACTAGGTCTTTATCCTAGAGGTAAGATTCTGCACCATAAACCTCAATTTTGAAATTTAACTAAAAATGGATAATTAGTGAGGCAATTATTGGGGGTGGTAGTTGTTCATCTTGCATGCATGTGTTATTAAAGGGTGTAGGAAGATTATTGAGCTAAAAATGGTAGATAATGGGTTGGGGATGATGGAATCCACCATAGGAGGACCTTGAAACCTTAATGCACACCTAGTGTTCAATAAAATGCTCAAATGAGTTGGAACCATAATCATCTTCCTATTTTTGTTCAATTAGTTATATTTATAAAATAGATTGAAGTTGCTAAGATTTTCGAAACATTTTAGAGTTTAAGGAAGCTCAAATGAGGTATGTTGGCTAAGCTCTTCTCTTAGAATTGAACCCCATATTCCCCTTGTAAGTTCTGAGTTGTTCATCATAAATCAATTATTCCAAATAAGCTTATTGACAAAGATATATGTTCAATACGTGTTTCAAATGCTCTTATTATGTTGTGCTTCTAGTAGAGGATGTGCTAAAAGTATGAATTGCATATCTACATGTCATAACTCCAAGTCGTGTTTAAAATGAAAGTTATTATGCCAAGTTGTGTAGAGATTGTGATTGGGATTACACCTCCACCCGCATACATTGGAGTGAGGTGGTAGGGACGCTTTATGTAGGTTTTTGGTATTGTTGTTACACCTCCACCCATATGTATTGGGGTGAGGTGGCATGGCTGCTTTGTGTAGGTTTTTGGTATTGTGGTTACACCTTCACCTGCATGCATTGGGGTGAGGCGGCATGGCTATTTGAGTAGAGTTTGTGGTATTGTGATTGCACCTCCACCCCCATACATTGGGGTGAGGCGGCGGGGCTACTTTATGTAAATGTGGTTATAGAGGACCTCGACTTAAAATTTACAAATGTTATTAACAGCTGTTGACAAATTTGCTTCGGCTTTAACGACTATCGATGCTATTCTATTATTACCCTGACTCATCATATTCATGTTGTATTTCCAAGTTCTTGATTAGGTGTTTGGTTTTCATACTAGTACTATTCGATATGTATTAACGTCCTTTTTGCCGGGGGCGCTACATTTTTAATGGATGTAGGTGGTTCCACAGTGGAAGATATTGACCAGTGATAGCGGTACTCATTTTTCCCAGCTTACTTGGTGAGCCCCATCTCATTATGGGGTCGTACATCTTTTGTTTCGTGTATATTACTATGTTTTGAGGTATGGGCGTAGCTTTGTTGCCGACACTATTATTGTACTCTTTGTATCTATTAGAGGCTCCACAGACATAGTGTGGATTGTGTAGTGGTGCTAGGAAAGTTAAACTAAAAATATCGAAATTGTATCACATGCTTCCACTGTTAAACCATGGTTGTGAAATGTGTGGTATTGTGGGACTTTAAAATGGAGTAACTAATTGTTATCGAATTAGTATTGTTCATGAATTCCCTTTTTTGGTAATAATCAATGAGACTTATCTCATCTTCTTTATCCGCGGGTGAGTTTTGGGTAGAAGGTATTGCGTAGGCTTGCTCGGTCGGGTTAACTCGGTTGAGCGTCGGTAGAGCTCCCCGAGGTTAGAGCGTGACACTTAGTCTCTGTTACCATTTATTGATACATCATATCATTATTTTTGGGCTGATCTTTCATGACATTATGAGCTCGAGAGACTGGGGAGATTGATGAGCGAGGCCAAGGGCCTGATTGTGAGGATATCGATTTATGATGGGAGCGGGCTGCACGCCGCAACAGATATTATTGATTTACGCCATGATTGGCTTATTATAGCGCTTAGGTTGAAGGAGCCCCTCCGGAGTCTGTACACACCCTAGTAAGCGCAGGTATCTATTGAGTGCGAGTGCCGAGCGCGAATGACGAGTGATTGGGAGGATTGAGTGACTATGGGGATTGAGCGATTGGGAGGATTAAGTGCATTGACACACCGAGAGTATGCATATGGTTTTATTACTGCATTGCATTACAGTTGGCATGCATACATCGACACGTAGGCATAGAGATATACTTTCCTCATGCCACTTGATAAGAAACATCTTACCTGTTGTTGGAAGTTTTTAGGAAAAACCACATTTTTCAAACTTACTCCTTTTTTTGGGTATTTTCGGTGAAAGATTTGGGATTTACTGTTATACTTGAAAAACATGCCTATTTTATGTAACTCTGAACGAGTTGAACATCTTATATCTAAGCATTTTTCTTGTACCATTATTATTATTATTTTGTTACGAACTGTTGTTAGCTATTGGTGTTGGACTCCGACCTCTGTTCCAGCTCGTTCAACCTAAGGTTAAGTTTGTTACTTATTGAATACATGTGGTCGGTTGTACTCATACTACACTTCTGTACCTTGCGTGCAGATTTGGATGTTGGTGTTGCTGTGTATGGCGGGAGCTGGCATTGAAGATGTACCTGCGTTCGGGTCATATCTTCCTCTTGTCCTCGGTAGCTTTAGAATTATGAATCTGTTCATGTATATTTCAAACATATAATGTATTTATTTCATACCAACTTTGTAAACTCTAAATCTTAGAAGCTCATGACATGTACTATTAGTCCTTAGGAATTCTTTGTATAATAGCTCAGTTGTATTATCGCTTTTTCTCTTAATAAATTGAACTGGTTTATTGTTAACTGGCTTACCTAGCGGGTCGGATGAGGTGCCATCACGGCTAGTTGGATTTTGGGTCGTGATAAGTTTAAAGCCAAACCATACTTGATTTCATTTGGTTAGCGTTAGTGAGTGACAATTCTTTTACTTTCTCAATCACCCTTGTATTGTTCTTGTAGGATTCGATCCCCATTCATAGTTGGATAAATTATATTGCATATGATAGTGAACACTTTTTATTCAATAAGAGTAAATTTGGACGTTATCAAACACCGGATGCGAGTCTCCATTTCATCCAATGCTCCAACACGATATTTGGCATCATTGTCTATCTCCCTATTTCCTTGGATTACTGACCCAAAATACTTGAAGCTTCCTCTCTTTGGGATGATTTGTGTACTAATCCTCACTTCCACATCCATCTCATGTGATGCATAACTGAACTTGCACTCGATGGACTCTGTTTTAGTCCTGCTCAACCTGAAACCTTTAGACTCTAGGGTCTGTCTTCAAATATCTAGTATATCGTTAACTTCGCCGCGTGTCTAGTCAATCAATACTATATTATCTGCAAATAACATACACCATGGTACCCCCTTTAATATGCCGTATCAATTCATATATCACCAAGGCAAATAAAAATGGGCTACGAATTAATCCCTAATGCAATCTCATCTCGACTAGTAAGTGTTCCAAGTCTCTTTCTACTATCCTCTCTCGGGTCTTGATTCCATCGTATATGTCCTTAATCGCTTTAATGTATACCACACATAAACTCCAAACATCTCCATAAAACCTCCGTTAAAAAATTATTATTTAATATTCTGATTCATAATAGCTTAAATATGAAATATATATTCAAATTTAAATATCTTAATCTTTACAAAATTAAACGGGGCCAAGTCACATTGTGTATGGAAGTATTATATCCATAATATAAAAGTATTATATAATACCACAAAATAGTACATTTTAAAATGTTACTAAGAAAAAACAATTAACAGAGTGTTTAGTGTTGAAATTGGAACCTTAATCTGCTAGATTGTTCGTTTTAATTTTTCGAAACCTTAATCTGCAAGATTGTTCGTTTTAATTTTTCGATCACTGCTATTTGGGGGACTAGTGTTTATAGTAGCCCGTAACGTCTTTTCATTAATTTCAGATATTTTATTTTACCTTTCATAGATGCACAGACAGGGACATACTCTAGTTAGAATTCAACAATTCATTTCTCGGCACCCAGAATTCCACCTTCCCCATCGTTGAACATTATTTTAGACGCCCCGCTCCTTTAACTGTGAGTAATACAGAAGCCCAGTGCTTCACCAACGCATTTTCGATTTGAAGAACCCTCTACCCCTCTGTATTCTCTCTCTCTGGATCTCCTTCTCCCTTGTACGTTTCGTCTCGGAGGGTTCCCGGGTTTCTTTATTTAAGATCTCCTCTCCCTTGTACCAAATCGGCCCATTCCTTAGTCTCGCAGATCTCCATCATGGCGGCTGCTAATGCTCCGATCACTATGAAAGAGGCCCTTACAGTAATCAATTCTAATTTCTCTTCCTCGCATTTTTCAATAATTTTATCTACTCTTTTAGTCTCTGGTATTTAGTTAATTGTCAGATCTGCGACCTAAATTATGACATTATGTTGAATTTGCTAAATGTAAAATTTTTGATTGAAATTTGGTTATTATATGACTTGGTGTTGCAGTTGTCAAGTGTAGGGGTGAACCCGCAGTTCATCACATTCACAAATGTTACCATGGAATCAGACAAGTATATATGTGTTCGAGAGACGGCACCACAAAATAGTGTGGTGATTGTTGATATGAATATGCCAATGCAGCCTTTGCGCCGCCCTATTACTGCTGACTCTGCTCTTATGAATCCCAATTCCAGAATTTTGGCTCTAAAAGGTATAATTGTATCTTTGCTGAGGAAACTTTTAGATTACTTACTGAATGTTCGTTCTATCATTGGCTAGAGTAATTGATTTACTTGCAGTTGGGATGCTTGAATTGCTGATGCTATACGAATTAACCGACGGCAGTTNACTTGCAGTTGGGATACTTGAATTGCTGATGCTATACGAATTAACTGACGGCAGTTTGTTTGGTTATTCATAGTTAAAAATGGATAAGTCGAACTTTTATTCACTTTTAATTATCAATGTGAAAGAAATTTGAAGCTTCAGTAATAAAGTCAAACAGTATAATTTAACGTGTATATATGAAGTTTTATCTGCAAAATGTCTTTGATTCTTAATATCAGTATTATCAAAGGCGAAAAGTGCAAAAAAGCTCTAAGGACGGTTCAGGCACTAAGCGCAAATAAAGCGTGAGCTTTAATGAAGAACGGGAGAAAAACTACAAATATGTATGTGTAGTCCAAGACTAATATCTATAAGCATGAATACCAAATATATGGACAATGAAATTGATTTTTTTTTACGATAAAGTGGAATATCAATTGTTTAGCGTCGCCTCTTCAGTATTACGCTCATTGGCAAGGAAAAGTATGCCTTAGAGCCTTGATGACAACACTGAAGCGCCCGCTAAGCGAAGTGAAACGCTCAACATGTTTTGAGCTTCGCTTCAGGTCTTAAGCGTGCTTTGATAACACGGCTTAACATCTAGAGGAAACAGTGCGATTGTGGAATATGTTTAGGTCTCTGATGACTACTGCATTCAGAGGCAGATATAGAGTTGACGGTATGGATTCAGCTGAACCCAGTAGCTTTGGCCCGAATCCTTAATATGTACACATTATTAATTTAGAACCCATTAACTCAAAAGGGCAAGAATCCAATACTCATAAATTTCAAATCGTGTATCTGCCTCTGGCTGCATTTAAGTCGAGACAAAGTCAATATGATAGTGGCTATTGCAGTTGTTAGCTTAAGTAGAACATCGAGATCTTTGAATTGAATGTTCATAAAACCTTCATCCAAGATATATATATATATATATCCTGTCTAATCGTGCTCTGGGTACGTTGACTTCTAAATGAGGACCAATCCGCTGTAGTTTGGACAAATCACTTTTACCACGTTACTTTGTTTACCTCCATTGCTTAAAGGGTTAGTGGATTTTTGTTGTTGTTTTCTTCAAAGAATTTTTTAATTCAATTGCGAATCATTGAATTACTGGGGATCTTGTTTTCCTTCATCCATATACGTCTTATAAGTGACAAAGAGGAAATTATAAACTGATGGGACAGCTCTTCCACTTTGGATTTCGTTAAAATACGTTTCCTGATGAAGCAATTCTGTCTTCTTTCTCCTCTTGAAGCTCAAGTACCAGGAACTACTCAAGATCACTTACAAATTTTTAATATTGACGCAAAGCAGAAAATGAAGTCACATCAGATGCCCGAGCAGGTAATAAATATCCCCATGAATTCTTTTTTATTATTTAATATTAGTTTGTTGCGTTCTTTGGGGATTTTGATAGTGTTGATATAACTCTCATTGCGTGTTATGTTTAGGTTGTTTTCTGGAAGTGGATTACTCCGAAGATTTTAGGAATTGTCACACAAACCTCAGTCTATCATTGGCCAATTGAAGGTGAGACAGTTCCCTTTTCTACTGATAATGTTTACCAATTTTTGTTCCACTTGTTTGAGTGGATAAAGGTCTAATTTTGTGTTCATTACTTTTTCTGGCCATTCTTTTTGGAATGATGGTTGGTGTTCTGTCTTTAAGATGTCCGTATTGTCTTTATCAGGTGATACTGAGCCTGTAAAGATGTTTGATAGAACAGCCAACCTAGCCAATAACCAAATAATCAATTATCGTTGTGATCCTTCAGAGAAATGGTTGGTTTTGATTGGTATTGCCCCAGGTTCACCGGAGGTGTGTAATGTTGTTAACCTGCACTGATAATGATAGTTTTGATGTTTTATTTTGATAGCAGACTTTGTTTTTATCATCTAACTCCTTCCCAAAGTATAATCAGCGAGGGAAAAGCCAGGAAAGGTCATATGAGGCTTTAATGTTGTGTTACTTTTTCTCAATCATTTCATTATGTAATGTTTCTGCGTTGCTCCATCTACCCTAATTCTTTTTTTTTTTGTAACTTGCTGATTGTATGTCATTCTCAATCTCTATTACGGTATTGTACGAAAAGGAAACTTGCATGTTAGTGCCTTGGCCATAGTACTGGTATCAGTACTTTTGTTGCCTGAATGTTGGATGCTTTCAGCTGCAGCAACCTGGCCAAAGGTGGCCCATCTGTTATATGCACTAGACGATGTTGATGAATGGCTGCAAATTATGATATTAACAAGGTTTATTCCACACCAATTTAAAGCTCAAACAACTGGCTTTTTAAACTTTCATTGAAATGTGTTCTAGGTGTAGACATTACTGTTTGATGATTTCTCCAATTCAGTATACAAAGGAGATGCTCTTTTGTCATTTGACTTTACCATTTTCCTCCATATCATTAGAGGCCCCAACTGGTCAAAGGAAATATGCAACTATTTTCAGTTGATCAGCAACGGAGTCAATCCCTCGAGGCGCACGCTGCATCATTTGCATCATTCAGAGTGAGAAAAGCTCCTCCATACAATTTGCTAATTGTTTTCCTGGCATTGCTTCCTTGTTTCCTGTTGTGACCGCTGTGTGCTTTAATCAGGTACCTGGAAGTGATAGGGATTCCATACTCATTTCTTTTGCCACGAGAAGCTTGAATGCTGGACAGGTTGTATCAAAGTTGCATGTCATTGAGCTGGGAGCCCAGCCAGGTTAATATGCCGTGTCCTATTTTCCTTTCGCCACTTTCTTAACCTTGAAAGTTATTACTAACATTGTGGTGAGAATTGCCTGATATAACTTCGTCCTTTTTTCTAATGTGATAAATGTTTGCAGGGAAACCCTCATTTACAAAAAAACAGGCCGATCTTTTCTTCCCTCCAGATTTTGCTGATGATTTCCCAGTTGCCATGCAGGTCTCAGTTGCCTTCCCTTTCTGGGGTCTGTCGCTTTGTCTTGTGTTTTTGTATTTTAAATTCAGTTTTTTTGTGACACAGTTATCCGTTTCTTTCGCAGATATCTCATAAGTATAGTTTAATTTTTGTCATCACAAAGCTTGGGCTTCTTTTTGTCTATGACCTGGAAACAGCTACTGCAGTTTACAGAAATAGGATTAGCCCAGACCCTATTTTCCTGACAGCTGAAGCTTCGTCAGTTGGTGGGTTTTATGCCGTCAACAGGCGAGGCCAAGTGTTGCTAGCCACAGTAAATGAAACTACTATTATACCTTTTATCAGTGGCCAAGTACGTTTATTTTCTTTGCATTCTGCGACCACATATTTTGTTACAATTATGTTTCTGGAAGTGTAAATTGAGGATGAATCCTGTAATCTGTCAAATTCTTACACATGCTGCAGTTGAACAATCTGGAGCTTGCTGTCAATCTTGCTAAAAGAGGAAACCTTCCAGGTGCTGAGAATTTGGTAAGTGGATATATTATTCTCGATATATCATTGTTCTGAAATGGTTTTGCGATGGGAGGGCATTCTGCCCTTTTCTTTAGGTGTACGGGATCTCTTGCCTGTGGAACTCTCTAACACTGTTAACTAGTTCATTCTACAGCTTGGTTTTTGTTCTTGAAAGTCTTCCTTCTCTAAATTGAGAAGTACTAAAATAGATTGTTGTTGCGATCATCTGCTAGGAGTAGATTTGACGAGGCTAATCCCTTTTTGTTATCAGCAGTCAGCAGTTGACAATCTTGTCATAAGATGTTGACTCTGATGGAATCAACATGGGGGAATATTGTTGCTGTCTGTTTCTTATAATGGTCTTACATCTATTAATTTCTGTCTCAGGTCGTCCAGCGCTTTCAAGAGTTGTTTGCTCAAACCAAGTACAAAGAGGCTGCTGAGCTTGCTGCTGAATCACCTCAGGGCATACTCAGGACGCCTGATACTGTTGCCAAATTTCAGGTAATGATGTTCCCTCTCAATTTTTATTGCTCATCAAGGTCTAGTTTCAAGAATAAACTGATTGTTCCTCAACTTATCGTGCAAATTATGCACATTGTATTTATGTGTCTTTTCGTCTTGTTGCAGAGTGTTCCTGTTCAACCAGGGCAAACACCTCCTCTTTTGCAGTACTTTGGGACACTTTTGACAAAAGGGAAGCTCAATGCTTTTGAGTCATTAGAATTGTCACGCCTTGTTGTCAACCAAAATAAGAAGAACCTTTTGGAGAACTGGTTAGCTGAGGATAAGTTGGAGTGCAGTGAGGATCTTGGTGACCTTGTGAAGGTTAAACTTTGAATTCAACAAGAATTTAACATAACTAGTGTTTTTCTGTTCACCACTTCAATCGATTCCCTCTTTTACACAGCCTAAAGTGCTGACAGCAGCTGCAAATTTTTTTATGTAGACTGTTGATAATGACCTTGCCTTGAAGATATACATCAAAGCAAGAGCAACTCCAAAAGTTGTCGCTGCTTTTGCGGAGCGCAGGGAGTTTGACAAGATTCTGATATATTCCAAACAGGTTAGCGAAGCATTTTTGCTGACATCATCACGTAAAATTTTATTTGGCCTGAGCTGCCATGTATGTTTTACACAGTCCAAGCGTTTCTATGAAATGTATTTGAGGTTGGTAATTAGAAAAGTTGTTTGTTGATATAGGTTGGATATACACCTGATTATCTGTTCCTCCTGCAAACAATTCTTCGATCTGATCCTCAGGTATGTAGAGAGTGGTTTATCAAAATTCATAAATTGTCAATTTCCCATCTTTCTCTGCAAGCTTCATGCGATTACATAGTTTTCCCATCATTTGGAAGTCAATAGTTTTGAATCATAGACAGTTTTGGATTTCACCTGCCCATAATTTATGGAGAAAACAATTGCTTTGATTGTTTTCATCCTTAGACATCTCTTTGATATTCTGCTCTCATGTTGGTAAAAATGCTTCTTTCTTGAAGCAAAAATCAACACAACTTCTCCAGATGCTGCTTTGTTGGTGGATTAATTTGAATAATTGTGGTTGTATATGCAGGGAGCTGTTAACTTTGCACTCATGATGTCCCAAATGGAGGGAGGTTGTCCAGTTGATTATAATACAATCACTGACCTTTTTCTCCAGGTTAATTGGTTTCTTAATGATGTCAAAATGCTTGTTTTCTGTTATGCTGACATAGTTCATTCCAATCTTCTACCTGTTAAACTAGGTGTTTTAGAAGTTTTTAACTATTTTCTACTGGGTGCAACATATAGCTGATGAGGATTCTCTTTTTTTTTTCTTGTCATCAGAGGAACTTGATCCGCGAGGCAACAGCATTTTTGTTGGATGTTCTGAAACCTAACCTTCCAGAACATGGTTTTTTGCAGACTAAGGTTTCTTTTCTCTTCTGTAGGACATCTTGCTGTTTTTGCATTTTGTTTAGATTTTAATGTCTCCACTGCACAGGTATTGGAAATCAATCTTGTGACTTTCCCCAATGTAGCAGATGCTATATTAGCAAATGGAATGTTCAGTCACTATGATCGACCTCGAATTGCTCAACTTTGTGAAAAAGCTGGTCTTTACGTGCGGGCTCTGCAGGTTGAATGGTTTTCAGCAATTGCCTTTACTTTCATCTGACTGCAAGTTGGTTAATTGGTGTATTATTTCTGCAGCACTATTCTGAGCTCCCTGATATCAAGCGTGTCATTGTGAACACACATGCGATTGAGCCTCAGGTTGTTATGCTCTATAGATTGCATTGACTTATTCGTTGGAGAGAGTGGACTTTTACTTAACTATATTGTTTGTCTCAGGCTCTGGTTGAGTTCTTTGGGACTCTTTCGCGTGAATGGGCTCTTGAGTGCATGAAAGACCTCCTAGTGATCAATATCAAAGGCAACCTTCAAATAATTGTTCAGGTGCTCATTTTGGTTTGTTATATGTTTTTGCACCGAAGTTTGTGTGCTGGAATTAAATTAGAGATTCCTGAATCATGCGATCAGAGCTTTTTTTACATTATATGAAATTGTTATTTTCTGGGCCGTGTAACATACCTGTAGACATCGAAATTTTAACGGATCAAGCAAAATCCTAAATTCAAGATACTACGAGAAGACTCTTGCAATTCTCGGGGTCTATTAGGGTTGCTTGGAGGCTACCCTCAAAAACTCTAACTTGGAGGCTACTCTACCCTAACCCTAGGTTGTTCCTATAAAAAGGGTTACGTATTCCCTTTGAAAGCATCTCACAAATTGAGGTCATCTTGGGATATTCACAAAGGGGTCAAGGCATAAAATATTGTCATGATCTATAGATGTTCTTGATAATCAAATACTTCAAGAAGAACATCCACACAATGATCGACTTTCATGGAGATCAAATAATTCACAGAGGCCCGCATTATCCTACATTCGAGAATATGCTGATCCAGCCCTCGAATCACGAAGAACAATCCGGGGGAAAAATCAAGGGATAAACAGAGTTGTAACTCGCAATATTTATTAATAAAATACTTTTTTTTCTTTATAGTTGTTTGTGATTGCAGTTTTATTTTTTTGCCCAAATTTGTTACAAACAAATTGGCATGTCCAGTGGGACGATTTCTGACCTTCATCTCTTCCTCCTGCAAATAAAAAATTACTAGTTTCAAAATAATTTATTGCATGGTCTGGTACCTAAGTTTCGTCTTCAAGTTTCGCCAAGCCTACACCCGCCGACAAACCTTGAAGTAAGGCATTTGTAGACATCGAAATTTTAACTGATCAAGCAAAATCCTAAATTCAAGATACTACGAGAAGATTCTTGCAATTCTAGGAGTCTATTAGGGTTGTTTGGAAGCTACTCTCAAAAACTCTAACTTGGAGGCTACTCTACTCTAACCCTAGGTTGATCCTATAAAAAGGATTACATATTGAAAGCATCTTGCAAATTGAGGTCATCTCAGAAAATCCTATAAATTCTCGGGATATTCACAAAGGGGTCAAGGCATAACATAATGTCGTGATCTACAGATGTTCTTCTTGATAATCAAATACTTCAAGAAGAACATCCGCACAATGATCGACTTTCATGGAGATCAAATAATTCAAAGGTCCGCATTATCCTATGTTCGAGAATATGCTGATCCAACCCTCGAATCACGAAGAACAATCCGGAGGAAGAATCATGGGATAAATAGAGTTGTAACTCGCAATATTTATCAATAAAGTCCTTTTTTTTCTTTATAGTTGTTTGTGATTGCAGTTTTATTTTTCTGCCTAAATTTGTTACAAACAATACCCATAGCAACATATCTGATTATGCTTTGTGGTATTGCAGGTTGCAAAAGAGTATTGGGAGCAATTGCGTGTTGATGCCTGCATAAAGCTTTTTGAGCAATTCAAGTCTTATGATGGGTTGTACTTCTTCTTGGGATCATATTTGAGTTCCAGGTACGTATTCATGGAGAGGACATCTTGACATTTTGCTAACTTTTATCAATCACTTGTTTTGATATTTTGGCTGGCTTGGTCAACCACTCATTTTTTATTTCCTGCAGTGAGGATCCTGATATTCACTTCAAATATATTGAGGCAGCTGCCAGGACTGGACAAATCAAGGAGGTTGAGCGCGTCACAAGAGAATCAAACTTCTATGACCCTGAAAAGACGAAGAACTTCTTGATGGAAGCCAAACTTCCCGATGCTCGGCCTCTTATTAATGTTTGTGACCGCTTTGGTTTTGTTCCTGATCTCACACACTACCTCTATACCAACAATATGCTACGGTACATTGAAGGTTATGTCCAAAAGGTCAGTATGATTTCTGTGTACGACTTGATTTATTGAAGTTTTTGCAAATATGACTTACGAACTTTAATCTGCCGTTGTATAGGTCAACCCAGGAAATGCTCCTTTAGTTGTGGGACAGTTATTGGATGATGAGTGTCCTGAAGATTTTATTAAAGGCTTGATCCTTTCCGTTCGTTCTCTGCTTCCTGTTGAGCCCCTTGTGGATGAATGTGAAAAGAGGTTCTTTTTTTCAAAATTTTATTTTTATTTTTTATATCTGGTACAATTATTTTAAAGTTGGTCCCAGTAAATTATAGCATGTTAAGCTTTTGCTCTTGGTTGTCAGGAACCGCCTCCGACTGCTTACTCAGTTTTTGGAGCATCTTGTGAGTGAAGGAAGCCAAGATGTGCATGTACACAATGCTCTGGGTAAGATCATCATAGATAGCAACAATAACCCGGAGCACTTCCTGACGACCAATCCATATTATGATTCACGTGTTGTGGGTAAATATTGTGAGAAGCGCGATCCTACCCTTGCTGTTGTTGCATATCGGAGAGGGAACTGTGATGATGAACTTATCAATGTAACAAACAAGAACTCTTTGTTCAAACTGCAAGCCAGGTTTGTTATTCGTGTAGTTAGTTGTTCTATAACTGCTGATTTGTCAGATGTCTAGAGAACAAACCAAATTGTCCTAATCTTTTTAGGTATGTCGTTGAGAGAATGGATGCTGACCTTTGGGAGAAGGTTCTTAACCCTGAAAACGAGTTCAGAAGGCAGCTTATTGATCAGGTTGTCTCCACTGCTCTGTCTGAGAGCAAAAGCCCAGAACAAGTTTCTGCTGCTGTTAAAGCTTTCATGACTGCCGATCTTCCGCATGAACTGATTGAGCTTCTTGAAAAGATTGTGCTCCAGAACTCTGCATTCAGTGGGAACTTTAATCTGCAAAACTTGCTTATCTTGACAGCCATTAAAGCTGACCCTTCAAGAGTTATGGACTATATCAACAGGCTTGATAATTTTGATGGACCTGCAGTAGGGGAGGTAGCTGTAGAAGCCCAACTTTATGAAGAAGCATTTGCAATCTTCAAGAAGTTCAATTTGAATGTCCAGGCTGCCAATGTTCTGCTAGATAATATCCGCGATATAAATCGGGCTGTGGAGTTTGCCTTCCGAGTTGAAGAAGATGCTGTTTGGAGCCAAGTGGCTAAAGCTCAGCTGAGAGAAGGATTAATCAGTGATGCTATTGAGTCGTTTATTCGTGCAGATGATACCACCCAATTTTTGGATGTCATTCGTGCTGCAGAGGATGCAGATGTTTACCATGATTTGGTGAAGTATCTGCTGATGGTAAGGCAGAAGTCAAAAGAGCCCAAGGTTGACAGTGAGCTAATCTATGCATATGCTAAAATAGATCGATTGAGCGACATTGAAGAGTTCATTCTCATGCCAAATGTTGCTAATCTACCGAATGTTGGTGACCGGTTGTATGATGAAGCCTTATACGAGGCTGCAAAGATCATATTTGCTTTTATTTCTAACTGGGCCAAGTTGGCTAGTACACTTGTGAAGCTATATCAGTTCCAAGGTGCTGTTGATGCAGCACGTAAAGCAAATAGTGCAAAAACGTGGAAAGAAGTCTGCTTTGCTTGTGTTGACGCTGAAGAGTTCCGCTTAGCTCAGATTTGTGGGCTTAACATTATCGTACAGGTAACTTAGCATTGTGTTTCATAAGTTACTGACCAGGGATCCTTGTTTATATTNCAGGGATCCTTTCTGTGTCAACATTCTTATTTAAATTGCATTGAGATTACCTGGAATACTGTTGAAAGATTGTATCTGCTTTTGCTTTGGCAGGTGGATGATCTGGAGGAAGTGAGTGAATATTACCAAAAC